GGATCCAAGATTTTCGTCGGCCAAGAATGTGTTCGAATCCAAAATTTCCAGAGTAATCTTCTCATTCGGACTATAAACGGATACAAAATGAACTTCTTCCCACACTGGATTTCTAGTAGAACGAGCAACTACTGTGGTAGCAACTTCTTTAGCGGAACCATCGATAATACGGACATAGGGATCTGTTGTTGTAAGGAAACTGCTGCTCTTTGAAAGGTCCTTTGCACGACTAATCTTTAATCTGACAATACCGATTATACCACCCGATTCGGTTTCGGTTTCAGTTTCTTCCTCAACTTCGCGTGCCAACTTCTTACGGTCTTCCTCGGTTATCTTGTCTTTACTCTTGAGAAGAGCTCCAAAGGATTTATCACTTTCAATAGCGTCTTCTTCGACTTCGTATCTCTCGATGACAAGTTGCCGTGCTGCCTCGAGCACTTCTGCTTCGACCGCGGCGTCATTGATTTGAGCAGACAACCACTTGGACGACTTTTCGTATGACTGAGCCCATTCTTCACGATGATCGACGCACACATAACGTAGATACCAAAGCAAGACCGCGGTGATACGGACTTCAGAACTAACCGTGGTTGTCTTGGAGTACGAAGAGTAGTGTTTGTCCAAGTGTTGCTTAGACTCTTCAACGCTTTCGTATCCGAGCAACTCTGAGATCTTTTGATTGTGTTCGTATGAACCGGTTTCACTTTGATATGAGACGAAGCGGCGAACGATGCGGACGGTGATGATACGTCGAGTGATAATTGTCCGTTGAACCGTAGTGGCAACCATACGTTTGTGTTCCTCGCTTTCCCACTGATCGAATTTGAAGTGTTCGATCACGAAGCGATTAGAGGCAATATATAGACGTTCTTCGACGTCTGCATCATTGATATTTACATTGAGCCATTCTTCCGTTTTTGCACAGCTTCCAATCCACTCATTATTATGTTTCCACAATAAGATTCTCAAGAATGAAGTCACAAGGACTGCAGTGAGGACTTTCTTGTCGAGTAACTTGAGTTGTTCGTCGTCGGAAATTCGAGCTGTAAATGCAGAGATAAGTTCAGTCTCGGATGTAAAGTTGAACAGTCTCGCCAAGCGTTTGTTAAGTACGAAAGAACCATCTTGACGCTGGAGTGTGATGAGAAGGAACAAGTGACGAATATTTATAGTGCTGATATCAATTTTAGCTCCATCGTCCACGTCAAAGTCGGTGAATGAATAAAAGTCACAGATAACGTGCAACTGTCCTTTCTTAGATCCCTTGTATCTGAGGTCCACGTATTTGTCAATGTGCTTGCCTTCAACATGGCCATCCGCGCAAAGCTTGACAAAGTCTTTCAATTCTAGACTGTACAAGCCCAAGAGCGTGTCGCTGAGTAATGCGTTATAGTCGTAAACGGTAAGCGTATACTTGTCTTTAATTTCGTATACTGGAATGTAAAAGATTTCGTTCCATCGCGGTGAGTTGTTATTATAGATTGTTTGCGTCTTTCCAATTTGCCAGCCGGAATGTGCATTGGTAATCTTAACATATGGGTCAGATTTTCCACCACTGAACCACCAATCAGCTGAGGGGAGTTTCTTTGCGCTGACAATATGAATACGTGCAATACCGAGAAGCTTCTTGGCGACTGTTGAGCATGAACGTAAAAAAAAAAAAAAAGGGGGGGGGGGGTAAATTCTCAAGAACGATGCAACAGTACTTGGGGGGGGGGGTTCGAATCAAAAGATAATTACCAAGTTCTCGTGTACTCTGAGTTCTGCCTTCGCGGGTGTCGACCTTTTGCGATGCAATTTCTTTTTCCCAAGTAACGTCAAGGTTTACTGTTTCTGTGTCGACAGAATAATGGCTAATAGCAATTTCTTTTACGACGCGGAATGCATCGATTTCAACTGCCTCCTTGTTTCCAAATTGAGCCCAAAGCCATCGGTAAGCCGACCAATAGCTGTTAATCCAAATTTGCCGGTGATCTATAGCCACGTAGCGATAATAATAAAGCATGAAAATAGTAACCCAGACATGCGTTTCGAGTTGAGTTATCCTTGCGCTTAATTTGCGCTTAGCAACTGCATCGTTGATGCTATTACGAAGGTTTTCTGAATTCTTGAAACCAACGAGCTTGGCCAAATCATCATCTATCTTGAAGGCACCATTACTGCTTTGGTACTGGAAGGTACGACGAATGTGGCTAATTTTCACGGTTTTGCGGGTTGGCCTCGTTAACAAAGAGCCTAAAAAAAAGAGAGGGAAAATGATAAGTTTCGTTGCTTATTTCAAGCATAGATTACAATTTCATAGTACGACTTTATACATACTTTGATCTAGCGAGATGTTAAACAGCTTGCTGACAGTATTTCCACCGGCGATGAAAACAACTTCTTCCACTTCCAGATTGTTAGCTTTTTCACTAATATATCGTTCCGCGCGATCATAGACACCACTCCATTCGCTTTGGTAGTCTTTCAACAGAAGCTTCAAAAACCAGATAACCATACTCGTGACCCAAACGGCTTCACTCAGCTTTTGCGCCCTCTCGTCCTTACACTCGGCTTTGAAGGCTTGAACAAGAAGAGTTCCTGTTTCCAAACCAAACAAATTGGCCAATTTATCTGACGCCAAGAAACTACCATTTGGTTCTTGGTGGAAAAGAAGAGCGTAGAATGCCGATAGATCGTATGGTTTTTTGCGAAGATTTTCAATAAAGTCTGGACCAGGTTGATGAAGAGTCGATAGAGGGAAGAATTTGGCGCGGTAGTGAAGCTGTCCCTTCTTTGGTAGTTTTTCCCATCTAAAATTGACCAAAATAAAAGGTTTAGAGACGTGAATTCGATAATGGTGACTTGTGCAATTAAAAAGTTTGACTTTACCTGTCGATACCTTTCTCGGTGCCTACATATGCACCCTTGACCAATTTGACAAGTTCATCAGTAACTTGGAAAGTTATCTTGCCGAGAGTCTTATGTTTCGTGAAAGTGTTAAAATCCATCAATTCGAATATAAATTTCTCGTTAAGTTGTTTTATTGGCAGATAATGAACTTCATTCCAAACAGGATTCAAATCATCGTCGATGACTCTGGTAGTAGCAATGATATTGTTGCTTCCATGTGGAAAGACGCGAACATAAGGATCCGATTTGCCTAATGACATTTTTTTTTTTTTCAAGAAATGAATTGTGAGTATTCTAAAACGTTTTCCTTGACTACAGAAATCGGCATGATGGTTAAGTTTTTAGTACCTCCAGGAACCCAATTGTCAACATTCAAAACGTCCTTTGCTTGAACAAACTCGATTCTCAATACACCAATAGCATTGGCTGAACAGAAAAACAAATCGAATTATATTAAGTACGGGGCAATGCGGCTAGAAAATCATCAAAAAATTGACACCGAATGCACTGACATCTCACATACCAGATTTAGGTGTGTTGATAGGTATCGTAACCCAAATTGCAGACTTGCCACTTTTTCCGAAAGCCTTGGAAGTAGTGTCGGCCAACACGATTTGCGCAGTCTCTTTTACGGTGCCCTTGATGTCTAACACGAGCTGCGGATTGTTTTGTAAAGCGAGATGACCTTCTTTCGTGAAAATCCATCGCTGGTTGTTGGCATTAGCAAGAGTTTTTCGCGCGTTAAAGACGAGACGACCACCGACTTTGCCTGATTTGAGATTAGCAAACCAAACAAAGAGTATGAGTGCCAAGTAGGTAAATAGTCACGATCATGATGACAATGAGATTATATTATTATAAATGCGAGCACGATTTTAATTCTAAACTAATTCCGGGACGTTTTACGATAATAAACTATCTACCCGAATGTTAGTATGACTATGATATTCCCGATCATTGTAGACGTCTTGATGTTGATAGTTTTTATAATAAACTATTTCTGTGATTTATTTACATGATACGTAGATACATATAAACAAACTAGGCAAGGCGGGGATAGAAAATACTTTTACATATTTCATATAACCCTGCATTAAAAAAATTATCTCCACAGTCACATGATCTAACCGCATCTATCTCGATTTGGGGCATGTGATTTTCATCTAATATCGATCTACATCTAAACTTAAGCATCTACATCAAATTATCAAATTAAAACAGACACATTACCGCCTTCAACCTCGAGGACATTGTTCGAACTCTTGTGGACTATCCAGCCGTTGTCGTATCTCCATAATTGATTTTGATCGTGATCAGTGTTACTCTTTTGACGTGCAAGGATACTCTTGGAACCACTCCAGAAACCACGTTCAAGGTCGATAACTAAATTCTGAGCGGGGGCAGCGGTTGTAGAAGTCCCAGAGGGGGAAGCCACCGACTTGATGTAAAAGTCTCCGCGAGGAAACTCTTGCGTTTCGATAGTCATGATCGTGTTTCGTTTAATACACGTGCGTTGCCAAGATAGAAAATATTGAAGACTTTCTCTTGAAGCAACGAGGGTACAAGAAAATAAATATTAATAAACTAACGTTTTCCGAAATAAAATTTCGGTGCAAAGAGCTGACAAGTGGGATGATGGCATTTTATGAGTAAAGAGGACTGTGCTACAGATTGTTGATACTTTCCCATACAACAAAGATTTAGATTAGTATTGCAAAAAAGGGTCGGCTGAGGAAGAGGCTAAACTTATCCGGTCGCACAAGTAAGAGAAAAAGCTTTTCAACGGGATGGGATGATTATTGATGATTGATAATTGACAATTGATAGTTGATAGTCATGGTTGATTAAATGACATGGATTATGCATATATACATTCCAATTTTCGTGTATATTCAATTGAATTGATTATTGCTTTCGTATTTTATTGTCATCGACTAATTTATTCTACAAGCCTTTGCATATCCAACTCTAACAAAGCCACAAGACTATTCCACAAGGTTGTTATTTGATTGTATCATATTTGGGTTGTGTAAGACTGGATGATGGTGACGAATATGTTTCCGAGTAACTTGAGATCTTCCCAGATTATAATCATTCGCCTAAACACAACAAAGATCATCCCGTTATTCTAAAACATTCTATAACTAAACGGGTTGGAACGTTTTTCATGAAGGGGGCTTGCGTTTTGTTTTACAATATATCTTTTATACAGAATGCAACGCATACGTATAATCATCGGTTTATATATGTTATTGTTATCGTGCATATACAGTAGGCGTGCTTTAGCGTGTCAGTACTCGATGCATATAATAGTATTTGCTGTGTAAGGAATCTACAGGTTATGTATTGATTATCGATACTCATCTACTAATTGTGCCATTTTAGAAACATTAACCGTATTCTTTTCAACTGCCAAGTCTTTTGTTGCTCTCGTAAATAACATTGTTATTCTAATACGGTAGGAGCCCCTGTCAGGGAACAGTCTAGGCAGAAAGCGACGAACTGGGCAACAATATGTCTAGAGCATCCTTTGGAACGAAATAACAACATTTGTCTCTTGTTTATTTGTGTGTACAACACAACAGTCATGATTATTGCTATCATATCTCATTATCACCATCACATCGTCCTATTTCATATTTGGCTATATTTGAGAGTTGGTGCTGCGTTGAACAAACACAGACTGTATTATAAGCTTAAATGCCTGTTAAGTACAGATTTTCCAGGACTTTCTGATAGTTCCTCCCCGCCCTTTTTGATAAAGAAACTTGCAGTATATTAGTATGCAGTTATTATTATACAGTACTTATGCAGTATACAGTACTTGGATGCAGTATGTTAATATACAGTACTTGGATGCAGTATACTTGGATGCAGTATATTAGTAACAGTGCATAGATATAATTACATCTTTTAATCTTCCAATGTGGCTTAGACGGTTTAAATCATTCCATCTGAAACCATGAACACGACAGAAGAATGGCGTAAGGTACATCCACCATTTTTGAGTTGAATGAAAAAAGCATTTGATTACAATGTTGTGATCGCCGTTCTTCCCCCCTTAACAATAAACTTCTCAGAATCCAAAACTAAACTGTTGGTCGAGAATATGCATACGTAATTGCGGAATATACGTACAAGGAGTAAATGATAACGACACAACGTTTAAAAAAAGATTATACACAACTTTTTCCCTCCCCCACTTTCCCCCTTCTCCCTCCCCCCAGTTCTAAAACTTAATTGCCAGTAAGCTACATTTCTCGTACTCACATTCTGTTCGATGGGTGGGGATTGGCATAATTAAAAATGCCGTGTACAACGTTGTGGAAACACAAGATGCAATAGAAGATAGGGTAAACCGACCCCTGTAGTTATGCAATCAGTGTAGCGCGTGCGATTGTCGACGGTTGTTCACATGGGTGTCAAAGAAGTCTGTTGGGGACTATCAAGGAGAAACAGTGTTCCAGACATTGCAGCAGAAAAAAAAAAGAGAAAAAAAAAAAAAGAGAAAAAAGAAAGTCAATTGTTACGTACTGCAGATACAACATTTCCAAACATGCACAGAGTGCATATATTTTAAATATGCATCTGAGAGATCGACATTATCTTAACACATCTAATTTATACTAAACGGTCGATTTTTAGTTTGACAGCAAGGGTATCCAAAGCACTAATTGATGGGTGTTTACTAGTGTGTTTTATAAACAATATCAAGCGAAATTAGATAACAAAACCTTACCGATAACGAAATCGGCCTTGTTTCTTTTTAGTGTACAAGCAACTAGGACCGACTCTGATTGGCCTATCGATCAATTGCAAACAGGGAAGAATTTATATCCTGACGATAACGCTAGTAAGAGCCAATTGCAAGAAAGGGGGATTGAGTCTGAGGAGTAGAGTGTGTGGGCGAACCACTCGACGAGTATATACAAGTTATTTCTAGACGCTGATTGAAGTAACCGTAATTGGAAGTATTCGCAATTGGCGTATTTGATTCACGTGGCAAAGCGTGAGGTCGGACGTAATTACGGTTTTCTGGAGACCTAACTGGGTATGACGAAGTAAATGGGCTGAAACATGATTTCCGTTAATGCATGTTACAATAATAATAATAATAATCATTATTATTATTATTATTATTACTATTATGCACATAACCCCAAACTTTCGCAATCACTACACGCCGGTTATACTTGACTCGTCAAAAAATGTACCACCGGAACGCAATATCTGGTATTGCTTTGTTTATTTATGTCGCATTGCACAATCTTTACTTGCATCCTACGACATGCACCTCCTGCCAAAAGTGACCGCCACATTGTAATCGGCAAATAAAATTTTGCCTAGTGTCAAATTGGCGGCGCAAGTAATAATAATGATAATAATGGATAATAATGATGATAACAATAATAACAATCAAATTACCAGTTTTCCTGTCTTCCGCTTTTTTTTTTTAAAAAAAAAAAAAACTTTCCCGAGCAACCGATCTTTTAAAATCGAAAAGCTATGTGGGCTGACTCTTTTGGATCTTACAATGAGGCGGTCTCAGCGCTTGAGAATGGCCCGAACTAGCCATGTTTTCATGAACAATTTCTTAAAAGATTCATATTCCCCAAACTGCTTCTCGTCCAGATTGACCACCAATTTTGAGCAAGCTCTTATTTGTACTGGTGAAACGAATCTCTTGAACAGATGATCTAATCTGGTACAGTTTGCTTCACGCAGTCATTTGGAGTAATGAATCTCGGTTGAATAGTAGTTGCTTGAAAAGAGAAAAACTACGTTTTCTGCCCCCAATTGAACGAACAAAAACCCTTGTCAATAAATAAAAAAAGTTGGTAAGGTATCTTGAAGAGTTAACATATAATATACCTTTTATAATAAAACAGCATATCATCCAAAGAGGCAGTCACTTCTAAGCGCTATGTAACTGACATAGTTCTCGAAATTCGTCGAACATGACGGTAATCTCATTCAAGCGTCATGCTACCAATTTTGTAAGCCTCCAAGGCAGATAATATTGTTTACAGATATTAGTCTTTTCTCTCCAACAAACCTAAAAGTCGTATACACTCATCGAAAACAAAAGCCCAAGGTAATACTATCTTGTCAATCTACGCCAAAATGATTTTCCGCATAAATAAGTTTCGTGCCATCACGACCCTTTAATTGGATAACATTTTCCATATAAAGTTAAACGGCTTATTAATCTTTGTTTAGAAAATAAAGTTACCTTCGTGAAATACAACATTGTCTCTGCAACTGGGGGGAAGTTTGATTTCTATCTAATAGAGTTCTTTGTTATTCTTGTCTTTTGTTTTCCAATAAGACAGAACAATCTGTTAGCAGAAAGTTTTGTTTGTTTTTTTTGCGACTGAAAACGTTGTTCGATACTTTTACAGTGATACAGACAAATTTAAGGGGGGAAGGTACTGCAAGCAGATGTTGGTTCTTCCCCCAAAGACTAAGATGTTTTGCAGTGTAATCTCAGGAAATATACGGACTTGATGACGATTACCACATCAGCCTGTAGGAGACATAATTCCCAAGTCGGAAAGCACGTGCGCATCGACATTAGCGAAATTATCTATGAAGAGCGTAGTCAAGGGTCCATCAAATACTTCGCTCTCCCGCATTAGTTGGCACTACACGAAAAACTTTCATAAATTTCGATGTTGTCACATAATATATTAATATGCACAACGGTTAGACTAATACCTTAAATATCTGGAACTCATTTCTTGAGACCATATATTAATATAGTCGAAAAATACATTGCTAAAACAACATTGTCTTTATTAAAAAAAGAGAGAGACCAATATTACTAATACTACTAATACTAAAGACAACATTAGTCTTTACTAAAACGAAGGGGGAAAGCGAAAAGGAAGAAAAAAAGCCATTTTGCTAGAAATACACAACAGAAATTATAACATTTGCTATTCTCTTAACAAATTTCTACATACCATGACGTAGATTCACGACGAAAATAAACTATGCCTCACATATTTTTCTAATTTCAACTTGTACGGCTGGCCAGTTTCTTTCGATATTTACATCTTTGAAACGGGTAAAATCCATTTCTATGTTGAATAGATTACCCTTAATGAAATTTCTCCAATCGTGTTCACCAGCGATAGTGACCACAACGAGCTTTATAAGCTCGTAATATACCATACATCCTCTCTCGAAATCAGCCAAGTCTCCCCATGATTCCCTCGTATCCTTGGTTACGCAGTATCCAATTTCAAATATTGATTTATACAGACTGCCTTGCTGGGATCGAACGCGTTCGGCTAATGTCTTGATGTGATCTCTATAATTATCAGGATCGGTGGGGTGGGGGTATAGTTCCTTACAGTCGTCGTCTCTCATTACCACGATCATTTGTTTTGCACAATGTACAATGTGCGTGGTGATGTCGTCGTCGTCGTAAAATTTGGTTATCTGACCATCTTCATAATGATGAATGAACGCTCCACCACTAGGTTCAATTATTACACAAGTAATTTTGTTTGCGTTATTGGCGTTGTAAAGATCTATTTCATTTCTTAAAAGATCTATTTCATTTTTTAAAAGATCTATTTCATTTCTTATAACAGCCTCTGATGATGTTGGGACTTTATCGATAAAAGACATGAGAAAATAGAACGCGTAGATAGATAAGAGGGAAAGAGGGAAAACGATATGTGGGTGATCCGCAAACCAAATTTGGGTTTAAATAGGGGGTAGTTGTTTAGATATCCACCAATGGCTCGAATTTCGCGTGAGCAATACGCGACATGTGAAACCATTTTATGGACATAAAGCACTACACACAGTTTGACAGTGGGTCAAAAGATTCCAATGATGGAGAAACTGCCTGGAAGATAAACCTTGATCTGGAAGGCCTTGTGAAGCAGTTTCAGAAAAAACGTCCACAACATGCATAGAGTGGGTGAGTTATAAAGAAATTAAGGGAAGAGCAACAGTCTGCAGTGTGATGCTGCCTAAATAAAGACCTCGAAACCTCTGCAGTGTGATGCTGCACCACGTTGCACATCTCAGACAAGTTGAATTATTAATAATCATTCGCCTTGACATATTAATATGTAGAATACTATTACTTACTACTACCAACGTTTCCGTTGTCGTCCGCTACTTGCATCATTCTTATGCACTGCTATTCATTATTCGCCTTGGTTACCCGTCGGCAAATGTATGACAAGGTAAATAACTATATGAAAATATTAGAATACTCTCAACCACAAGGATGGAAAACTCTTAGCAAGTCACTAATTTCCATCACCCGGTTGGCCTATCTGTACGAGCAGAACATTTACCGTCAGGATGGCAGGCAAAATCATTCCGCTTGCACTTCTGCGTTAATGTTTCGAGGAGAACAACGTCAAGCAGGACGTGTGGGTAAAAGGAATAGTGCCATCACGATCATGTTTCCCTAATACAAGGTTGACTTTACCCAGTCCCAATCGCATGACAAAAATTCAATACACAGTGAAAGATATAACGGATCCGCTTTATCGAAAAACCGATATAGTCAGAAAATGTTCGATATAGCGGTTTTTATTTATTACTTGATATTTATTAAGTTTGTCAATGTAAAAGTATATTCGTCAATAAGAATTGATCAAGGCACGTTTGCAAACTCCACTGTATTTAATCAGTAAAAACTCTGGTTCCAAGAAAAAACTCCGTACCCGTTATATCGATGAACCGTTATATCGAGTGTATCTGCTGATCACTGAATTTTGCATTTCTTGGAGATGGGCAGCTCAAAAATAATCCCGAGAGAAAGGCTTGCCGAATTACGTAGCCGAGCAAGAGATATCTTTCATAGCTCAGCTGAAAACAATGAATGGTGGAGAAATAACCGCCAGAGCCAACGTCTGAAAAGGGAAATGCGTACCAATAAGAGAGAGCTTACTACTGGGATCGCAATACACTTCTTTGCCAGAAAACGTATCTGGGATTGGTCGCAATTATTTGGAAACATTAGCAACGAACCGCGTGTGCCGCGATGGGAACCAAATAACCATTGACAAAGACACGTTCCATAGCGTGCATGTGCTCGTACATACAGTACATAAACGTGTTCTCTTTATACTATAAACTAATACGTTATCCGTTATCATGAATGTACTGTGGAAAATGATAGAGCTATTAAATGTCAAACGGTTTGTCTGCTAGTGGCACGAAATATATGTACGTGTATGCGTATGTATTTTTTTGTTTACTTATTTTTTCTTTTGATTTACTCGTTCTCCTTAGCAAGTCTGTTACATTTGTCATGTACAACGCAAACAGATAGATTTACTTTACAATACATTACTGTTTACAAAAAATTAGACCCCAACCAAGTCCGAGAATCATTACAAATTAAAGCAGGCAGCACTATACATTAAATATACAATTCCGTGTCTATGCTGTGATATTATTAAATTACATACGTTTTTTTTTCTTTCGAAAGTTCCGTTCAAGGCCAAAAGCAAATGCCACTTCGTAAGAGCCGGACGCGTAATCGGAGTGGTACGGAAAATATACTTTTCCTATTTTAGGTTTCCGGCCTCCCATCACTCCCTTCTGTATGGGTCATTGTAGTACATTCTATTTCTTGATTTGTTTGGCTGGTGATTGAAATTTCTCCAGTTTCCTCGAACGCAGCATATGATTTTGGAAGGCAGCGGCCTATTGTCGAATCATGAAGAACAAATATTACTATAATCGCAGCTATTGCAGTTGCCATGTTTTGTGTTGACTGTTTTTGAAGTGGGAGAGAGAGAGAAAGAGAGGAAAGAGAATGAGTAATTCGTCATCAGGATGTATGTAATCCGTTTAAAACGTGTGTAATTCAAATTTACCTGTGATATCCAGAAATTTTTTGGCGTTATCGGTAGGAACGACATTGTAGATGCACAAATATTAAAAACTATCGTAACTACCAACAATACCATCAACACTAACATCTATATAATAAAAAACAAAAAAACAAAAAAACAATTAGTAAACTTGGAACTAATAATTCTTCTCAATCTGTACTATAAAATATCTCCAGCCAGTTTAACTGACCTTTTTAGCCGCCTTCGATCTCAACCTTTGTTTCGCAGAGCTAATGACTGCTTTCTTTAACGCGGTAACCATAAACGTTCCGAATATAATAAATTCCAGAGCTAATATAAGTAGACACACACAATCTACCAAGAAAGCCACCTTCAACGCTGTCATCACCCATGGAAGATTCACGTGAGAATAAGAGACCATGCGTACAACGAATGCCATTGTAAAACAGAAAACGCATAAGCGGAGTAGATAGGTGTATACTAGAGATAATCTACGAGAGAGCAATGTGTGGTGATTGTGTTTTTGACACATGATTTCGGCGGCTTTTTTCCATACCATTTCGACAGCAGTGAATATTATTATCAACATTAAATTTTTAAAGCAGATTATGAAAGCATAACCAATCAAAGGTATGCGGGCTTCATGAATGCTACCGGGACTCACTTCAAGGATTATCGCCGAGGCTAAAAAGGGGAGGGAAGGAGGTGGAATTGTAAACATTTCAACCATATGTTTCAAGTGGTAGGATACTTTTAAAATTTATCAATTACACATACCAATACAAACAAGCATGATGCCGGGATAAATCCAATACTTTGCATTTGTTATCACATAGCCTATTCGACTATAAGTCTTTACCAGACAATACAGACACATTGTGGTGATGGCAAAATATGCAATACCCATAACCAGTGACCACACTATCCATGCAGCACTCTGAACAAGAGTAATCCATGGGCCATGATCTATTAAATCGAATTAAGAAATTGTTATGGTATTTGTTTTAAACCCTGGTTAATTTAATATATCAGTGTTATGCATACCTGAAGTAATCTCACCCGTATATATAATACTTCCCAATCCTCTGATTCCACTCATATCGTCTTGACTGACAAGACTAATCGATGGAATAGAATTAGCGAGAATTTTTCTGTCTCCGGCATAAATTTCGTCCAGTCCAGGTACGCCTCCATTACCAGAAGTTATTACGAGAATCTTTTGCGCCATATTATTTATGTCGCGTTTTCGATTTCGATTTCGAGGGCGTATTATTGGCAATCCTACAGATAGGCTTGAGCTTAAGGAAGGAATCGGTAAAAGCGTTGTCAAGCCATTTATCGTAGTCGGTATGCCAACCCCAGTAACTACTCCTCCAACAACAGTATTCACTCCTCCAACAACAGTATTCACTCCACCAACAACAGTATTCACTCCTCCAACCACTCCACCAACAACAGTATTCACTCCTCCAACCACTCCTCCAACCACTCCTGTAGCTGTATTTACTATTGATGAAACGAGGGCGGTGGGTACTACACCCGCTGCTGTTGGAGTAGGGTTTCCAGCTGGTGTAGGTTGTGCCGGTTGTGAAGCTGAAGCAGGCTGTGCAGCTGTAGTAATTGTGGTGGGCATTGATCCAGGCGTAGAAGCAACGGTAATCGTCTCGACAGATACCTTAGTACTAACAGATACTTGCCCATCAGGACCGGTTACTGTCTCGTACGTAGTCTGGGTGGTGACTAATTCTGCTAGCGTTGGCACGTCATTTTCGTCACCAGCCGCGGGATTTTTATCGGGGTCTTTATACCATCCATTATCCTTTAAGATATCAGCGTAGCTTCTACATCCTTGGCTAAAGGCTAGTTCGAATGGCACGACCAGTATGTCTATATTATCTTGTAATGGATCTATCCGACAGGGGTTTTCTGTCGTACTATTAGCGAACGATACAATCTCTATTCGACCTTTAATTGTTCCATAGTCAATTGAGTTTGCAAGCACAAAGTCTACATTTGAAAATGATCCGAGTACGGCTTGGGATTCGGAATATATAGTGAGAGTAGAGAGAACTCGGGTGGGAGTAAAGAGAATGGTTGGTATTATTTTTAGAAACAAGGATGTGAAAAAACGGAATGTTGATGGTCGCGAGGATATGAGCATTGTTAATTAGTAACGAATTCGAAGATAGAGTGAAGGTGGGGGGAAGCGCGACGTGTTAATATGGCAACGTCTGTGATTGAGTATACGCTTGCAGCCAAAGAAAGTTTAAATGGTAATTAATAGGAGAGTGTACAACTATAAGCTAGTGTAGTTTGTATGCATTATTGATGGTGCAATTAAGTCGATGGAAAAGGAATAGTCGCCAAAAGAATGAAAATATGTTTTCCTTGGTGCTGCCAAGCTCGAATGAACGATTGAAATCAAATTGGTGATCCAACTGCTACTTCTTATACCTGTCAATTTATACGACGAAAATGAACAATGCCCTATCAGTATTTTGTAAATATTACATGCAGATTGAAACCCTTTGTGTGTTACATGCCCAAATGCAAATATTGCACATGGATTTTGATTAATTGAATGCACCTTTTATAGTAATGATATGATTAACAGATTGAGGGAACTGGTAATATTTGCAACGTACTCGTTCCAATACCGTTGATAGGGAAAATAGTTTTTACAACGAATGTAACTCTAGATACATAGCTTCTAAACACAACATGTGTGTCGCCATTACATAAACAAGATCAAGAGTACAGAAACAAACTACAATTTATTGTTGTCTTTCGCCATCGAGCCTGTCAGCTTTTTCCTGTGCGTCGATTAGTATTAGTAACCAATGGGGTAACTAGCAGGAGGTTAACCAAAGGAGTATTATTAAGGTTGGTGAATAACGCAAAACTTGGCACCAACTTTAGGCAACAATGTTCAGCATAATAAATAACACTTTATTACTTTTATGTACAAAATAATATATATCTAATTATACAAACCCCAAAACAACAAGAAAAGGTATTACTATATGCACGCCCCCTGCAAACCGTATCTACAACATAAACAACTGCACAAGAACAGCAAAAACTGGCACTATAGCAGACCCGATTCCTTCGGATAGTAACACAGAAACAATTGACGACGCTGACGATGACGAGCCAGAAGCGGGCGGGGAGGTTGTCGTAGTGGATGTGGAGTTACCGCTGCCAGTACCAGCGCCACTACTGGTGGTAGAAGAAGATGTGGTAGTTGGACTACCGGTCGCAGTGTCGGTACCCGTAGTAGTGTTGGTAGTGGCAGTGTCGGTAGTGGCAGTGTCGGTAGTAGTGGGAGGATAATACTCGGAACTCGTGGAATTGCCTGGAGGATAATACTCGGAACTCGTGGAATTGCCTGGAGGATAATACTCGGAACTCGTGGAAGTGCCTGAAGTAGGAGTAGCATCGGGAGGGGGAGGACTGGCACCGGGAGGAGGAGTAGTAGTATCGGTAGTAGAACCGGGAGGGGGAGTAGCATCGGGAGGGGGAGGACTGGCACCAGGAGTAACACCGGGAGGGGGAGGAGCATCGGGAGAACTTTTAGCATTTGCATGAATTGACGAGTGCGATAGAAGTAAAAGCGTTGCACAGAAAAGAATAGTGATGTATTTCAATTTGCGTGACATCTTGGCTGCCGCGTTAAAAGAACGTCAATGAGGATGAATAAGTGTTTTTGAGCTTTTTGATTGGGAATTCGAAAATATGCGTTATCTAATTAGTAATAGTTATTGGAAATACAAACCAGGCTGATAATTCAGGGATTCGTTAGAGATGCGTTATAGATGCGTTAGAGTCGCGTTAAAGGTGCGTTAGAGATTCGTTAGAGATGCGTTAGAGATGCGCTTCTTGCGATAATGAATGCAAAATACGCAATCTCTGTACTTCGTTTTTCCTTTTCTTTATATAAGCATTACGAACTGCTCTTTGTATGTCCTGATTCTACCATTATATCATCGGGGGCGCTGCACGGGTCACCCATTTCGATTGAACTTTGCCACTATTATAGTAATAGTATGATGTCTTGGCAAACTATGATATGGCTATTTTGATCCTGCGAAAAAATTTGCGACTATAAATTCCCATTTCTGTCCTTGTGCAGCAGAAGCCAAGAATCTTGGCTGATTATCAAAATCCTGGTGGTTGTACTAGATTGTGTAACGACAATGCATAATAATAACTATTACTATATTTATACCAATAATAATAGCATGTCGATACTTGAAACAAAATCTCCCTTGCCGCATTAGCAACTTTTCGAACCGGAAAGTTTAAATTAGTTGAGATGTAGTTCGAGCATCTACGGTTCCACAAATACATTTTGATGTGCAAGCTTTGGAGATTAAACTTTAATTATTTGACGACGACTGATAAACAGGTGATCGTCAGAAAAGAATTTGTGCCTTTTTTTTTAATCCCCCAAATTTAAATCAACGAGTAGACTTTGTTTAATTTCTGGCGGTCTGGGACAAGTTATATCGTTTAAAATCATCGGCAAACATTTCTTACTTCATTATACAGATATGTCTGCCTTATGACTCGTAAGTACGATTTGGGGTACATATTTGACTTCTTGCAAAAACTTTACTATTACATTTGAGGTCAGGAAAAAGGCACAGTAGCATCCCCGAGTATATATCCCACATAAAAACCAAATTCGAACCCCAAATCACCAACTACCCATTTTCGTCGTCATTTTCGATCAATTATCGGCAAATACTTTTTGGTAGTACGATCGGATGTACTGTAATTCTACGGGGGTATGCATTACCACGATCGGCATAGCCTACGAAAAGAATGTTTGTCTTGAAACTCTTAACAAAAGTTCACGTAAAAATGTCCAGTTAAAACAAAAATATATGCCCTACCGGCTAGAACTGACGAAGCTGGACAGGATAGTATTGTCAAACGTCGTGGGGTGCATGTAAACAATCACCGACATCGAAAAAATCGAGGAATCGACCCGATTGGTAAAGATGACAAATTAACACTATAAGATGCACAAACTTTATTTGATAAAACTACAATTATTATCATATGCGAGTTATAGAATCCACGAACTAATTCAAGACATGAGACATAAAAAAGTTACCTGTAATCACAATCGAATTTTAATGTTAATTCGAAGTTCTTACTTACTATACAGTATTTATCTAATGCGTTAATTCTAGGAAATCTAGAATCACATTTGATTATGATGGAATTTATCGGCAACCAATAGAATTTTAGAAAAACAAATCGAGATATGTACTACGATGTATCTGGGTACTAAAATGAACAAAGGGAATACCCCGGTACACATTACGGTACATTGTACTCATCTATGCATCAAACAGTCTATTCACGGCGATGCGAATAAAGGATGTAAACGACAAGCTCGTTTTAGCAATATTTAAAATACGCATTTACGATGTCCTGTTTGCATGACTTAAATTTAGACTAAAGGGCTGCAAGGCATCACTTGGCACACATTGAAAATGTTAATCAGATTGCCATTGGTCGAAATGGTTCTGATAACGTCGAGACACAACTTTTGTGCATGTTTATATAATACTGTTAAGGAAAATGGTGAACTACATTGTACTCATCTATGCATCAAACAGTCTATTCACGGCGATGCAAATAAAGAATGTAAACGACAAACTCTTTTAGCAATATTTAAAATACGCATTTACGATGTTCTGTTTGCATGACTTAAAATTTAGATCCAAATTGTGACTCCGACTGCCTGCATTACTTGGCATACATTGAAAATGCTAACCAGATTGTCATTGGTCGAAATGGTTCCGATAACGCCGAGACACAACTTTTGTGCATGTTTACATAATATTATTAAAAATTTCTGTCGAGACACTTGATATCATTAAGATTATTTCTTCACAAAGACTACTACTACGTGTTGTTAGTAATTGAAGACTTTTGCGTAACCTCGTTCAATCAAGATTGAATTTATTAACTTGTGAAACTCATAACCGAGTATTTATCCGCCGCTTTTCCCGTGCATCCGCCGCTTTTACCGCGCTATTCCGCTTTTACCGTAATTATTATCCCGGTTATTTGGGTTAATTTTTAGGTATGATTTTTTGATTTATGACCAATAATAACTGGACGAAAAAGTTATTGCGACCAGATTATTCAAGTTTGCAGATCACGGTAAAAGCGGCGGCCCTTTTTTAAATGAATCCACACTAATATACAGTGTATTGTGATATGATACGTAATTGGGCACTAAAAAATCTGATAATCCAAAGCAACTTTCTCTTGGTGAATCGAACAAGTTTCCAAGGTGCTACTCGGAAATCTCTTCCAGTAAATATTCTGTACATCCAGTAACTTAAGGAGTGGCCTATAGAATGTTAAACATCATATTTAATTAAACTTTATCCAAGAGGTAACCATGAACGTGATGCTATAGTACCGGACAAAAGCAGTAGTAGGTATGTGGCTTTGTTTTTTGTTGATAGAACAGTAATTTGAAATATAAACAATAAGACGCAAAGGTGCATACTGTTTTTTAATTTCAAATGGAACCTACACCTATTAAAACAAAATGTAAACTTTCCAAGTCTCTTTGGAAGCAACGCCTTCCATAGTGCAAAAAAAATCTTTCTTTTTTTTTTAAACAAAAAAGAATTGCTTTGTCTTCTGTGAACATTATGTTTTCTTTCTTTGAAAAATGGCAAAATTCCTAACATTTATTTGATCGAGCTGGTTGTTCACAAAGAATTAAAGACTATGCAGGAAACAAAAACCCCGAGTTAGATGTTAGTTCGTTGCAACCTTAATAAACTTGGTTTTTACCACGTAAAGTGCCTGTTAACCCAGCAAACAAAAGCCAACGGGCTAACTTGGGCATGTGATTACTCGCATTGCAATTGAGAATGTCTGGGCTGTTTTGAGCAGTTTTGAGCATAATATCGAAAAACGCATTAAAAATTTGTGAAAGAAATTTTTCTCCGCGCAGTTTTATTAGGGAGCGATGAGATGATCTCGAAAAATATATTATAGTTACAGCAACAGCAGTGTAAAAAGCATGTATTGAAGCTGAGTGACAAATATTAAGTAGCTAACAAATTTTGTAGCCATAATGCTCGGCTTTTATTAAAAAATTTTGCTCATTACGTCCCAAAAGCTGACCGCTATTACTTTTGCTAGGGACTGTAAAATGTCTTGGATGCTTCCATTACAGTCTTTTATGCCTAAGCCTTAATGCCAAATTAAAGACTAGCATGTCCATTACCATCATATAACAGAGAAAAGTAAAAGTGTCGAGTCAATAATCGCGGGAGAACAATCGATCGTTTAACTCTTGTGATTTAACTATCTTTCTATGGCTTCTCTTAGATAGTTAGTGACCTTTAAACACTCACGACCTAGTGTCGATCGGTAGACACTAATCCTAAGCCGTTATTCGCCTTCGAGTTAATCCTCTATGGAAGCTTCTATGTTGGGGTTTACTTATCTACTCATCTCATCTTTAGCAAATACAATTATAATGCCACGAGAATATCCCGAAATATGCTGCTGACATGCCCATTATGATCATAATTGTGTATGCGGCTGTGTAATATTACTGACATGTTACTATCCGATCGAATATGCGTCACCATTAATATTAGTTTCCATAACACTCCATAAATGCACCATCTTTTATTACTTTAAATGCATGGTTCAAACAAACCTCACAATCCCAATATGTGCATTGGGAGAGAGTTGACTGTAGTTGGTTTCAGCCTCATTCGCCATTTTTTAACTCACACGGTGAAATGTTCAAGAACTGTTGACCCGAGTATGAAACGTCTATAAAGTTAAAAGAGTTAGGATTGCCAAACAAAAGTTAATGACACAATCATCAACTTCTAGTGAGAAGATCAAGAATTTTAAACCTGTCTTATGTTGCGCTGAATTGTGGAGTATATTCAATGACATTACCAGTGACATTATAAAAAATCAGCTTCTTAGTTACAAGCCTCAAATTTATTCCACGTCTACTAATAGAGAATAACTCGAATGGCGAGCTCAAAAAATCGATTTCTTGCCCTTTAATTGAATTCTTTCGTACCTATTGACTAATTAGGTACCTTAGCCTCCGATTTTATACATGAACTAAATTATAATCGACGCAACAAATAAATGTTATACGGGTTCTTAGGATTAATCGATAATGTACATACTAATACAGGTAAAAATATTTCTCATCTCGAGTATCCTCAATCATGACGAATTTTGAGTTTGCTAATTTATTTGTGAAAGGTGTTATCTTTGAGGAATTACGACTATCGCTATTACTATTTTCTACTAAAGGCAATGATCACACGAAGCTTAGGAGCTAGGATAATATAGGCGTGCTGAACTATGACGTCACTTTCGATCATTCGCCTATCGGCTTTGTTTTACTACAATGGGTAGTATCTCGTCCTTTTAAGACACAAGATCTTCTTCTGTGATAGAAGGAACGCGTTTTTCCTCCGAATACGCGCTCTTTGTCTGATAAAAACTTTATAGACAAATACACTTTCTAATTTGTAATTAGAATATACGCTTGGTGTGTCACGATTTATTTTACTGCTTTGTTGCAATACCTATTAGTCACCACACCCTTCTTGTTAGTATGGCTTTAAATAATGCCTTTCTATTAATGTCGCGACGGTCTATCTATTGCCGCTCTATTTGCTTGATACGTCCGGGTGTAAAAATCAACGAGTGTTGACACATTTTTTCTTCTACCACTCGCCACCGTTTGCAAGCCAGAAACTCATCCGTCGAGGCGCCCGCCAAAGACGGTGAGCAGGCTCTCCGTTTGCCGGGAATCTTACTGGTATGCTCGTGAAAGGATAAAAAAAAGAGATCTCGAAAACGAAGGAGAAGGGTCGGTGCTGGTGCTGGTGGCAAAGGCTAGGGGACCAGGACCCCGACCCTTCACAAAAGATGCAAGGGAGTTTGCATGTTCCAATAATCCTTTGTGATGAGACTAATGTGGTTGATAAAGTAATCGCCCACAGCCAAGTAGTAAATATGTGAATATAGAATGCTCGCTTATACAGGTGAGAATCTCGCTGAGCATTTGTAGACTGTCATTAGATCCAAAGATGTAAATCAGAGAATTGAAAGCACATCATAGCCATGACTTGCACTTATTGGCTTTTGGAACCTCGACATTGACATAACGATTTGTTTATAATAGGCCCCGAAGCCGTAAGAGCATTGGTCGGCGACGCGGTTTGTTGGCAAACTATTTAAAGTTGTCAACTTTCCATCATATTACAACAGACTCGCTGTCGTTGACTCCCAAGAAAACACGGTGTCGCTGACACAGTGATTGCATATCCAACTAGTTAACGCTACGATTGATCGCGATTTCCAATAATCCTGGAGGAACTGTCTGTTTGGAGGTGACGACGACAGTAATAGCAACAAAAAAAAAAGCTTGGATTAACCCCTGATGTTGTTGAATCCGCCAAAATGGAGGAAAAACGCAGGTTTTTTAAACATATATATTTTTCACTAGCGTTGAACATTATCAGCGAACTCTTATAGCATAATGTGAAATAACAGTGCCTTTGTGTTGCGTTTCACTGTTATTGCGTAGAAAGAACGTTTAATGATAGGATCAAATAAGGGTTTAGGTAGATTAAACAATACAAACAATACTAGCTATTTTGCTTAAAGCGATTGGAAGTTAGTTCAATAAGCAAATATATGCCGAGTGATGTGGTGTTACGTTAACAAAAGTCTTAAATGATTTGACCTACTAAGGTTGTCACATGTTCACTCGCGGCCTAAACTTTGTCCTAACGTTCTTTGATCTACTTAAATGATACTACAAGTTTTAACATTTAAATTATGAAAGTTTATTAAATGCTATGAATCAACATGTAACGAATGCAATCAATACAAGATACTCGATGAAAGTAAAAGTCGCAATACAAACCAATGCTAAATGTTCATATATATATATACACATATTTAAATTCAATGACCACATTACTAACGCAGTCAATGTAAACCCAAACAACTACCGAACAATTACGTCACTTTGCAGCCTGTAACAGCAATAGTGTTACGTGAACGTATAATTCAGATAATAAGATTAGAATAGGTAAATGTAGATAATATAGAAAGACTCCAGCTCTTTAAGCTATCTCGGAACTACAATTATAAGATTGCTAATACATCTACTCACACAGCAAAACTGCATGGAAACGTTCTTCCTTTTTTAGTTCCCTTATTATGTTTACTTCTGTCGGGATATTATATCCATGATCCCAGATAATTCTGCTTCTCCTCAAAACTCATTTCCCGAGCCACTTCATCAGTAGGAGACTCCTCAACGGCTGACTCCAGCTCTGGAACAAACAGCGGTTCAACCTGTTCCTTTTCCTCTTCTTCCTCCTCCTCTTTCACTCGTATCAATTTTCTTTCTTCTGCCAGCAGCATTGACTTTCGCGTGACGTTAACCTCGAAACTTAATTCGGTCTCGGATAATTGTCCTACGTCTTCTTCCGAGATAGGATCTTCATCAGCCGAGAAAGCCTCAACAATCGGGGAGAGAGCAACCTTCAATGGAGGCGGAGTGAAGAGTTCTCCGTCACGAGAGGAGGAGGATTCTGATGAGGAATCGGGTTGGAGAGGAGGAGCATTATTGTTAGCATCGTCGAGGGCGAGGGGCGAAATCGGACTCTCGACGCCGAGGCGGGATGAGCATTCGCTGATTGAGATTGATGCAGTCGACGTCGAATTACAACCGGTGTCAATGCGTGGAGCGGCATAATCGCGGAAGGATAGCTTTTCGTTGAATATCCTTACATCTCCGCCAGTCGGTGCGTGGCTAATGTTATCCAAGCTTCTTACACGAGATTTAACATCGTCAAAGTATACGGGATCGTGAAATATGGGTTTATCACCGCCCTGTGGAACATGGCCAATATAATCAAATGAACCGATTTTTGCTGGTACGTTTGAAAAATCGACCTTGGCGTCCAGTATCTTCTTATCACCTCCCTTTGGCACATGGTTGATATTCTTTAATGAACCAATTTTAGCGGAGACGTTTGAAAAATCGACCTTGGTCTCCACTATCTTCTTATCACCTCCTTTTGGAGTATGCTTTATATTCTTTAACGAACCAATTCTAGAGGAGACATTCGAAAAATCAATCTTGGCGTCCACTATTTTCCTATCGCCTCCTTTTGGAGTATGCTTTATGTTCTTTAATGAACCAATTCTAGAGGAGACATTCGAAAAATCGATCTTGGCATCCACTATTTTCCTATCGCCTCCTTTTGGAGTATGCTTTACATTGTTCAACGACCCAATCCGCGGTTTCACAGTAGAATAGTCCAGCTTTTCTGAAAGGATCTTTTTTCCGGTAGTTTTTGGTACATGCTTGATATTATCGAGTGAACCGACACGAGATTTTACGTTTGAAAAGCCAGTTTTGGTACCTGGTTTAGATTGGGTGCTAGAAGAAGATACAGATTCCTGGTCCGAGTTTGCCACAGACGGGCTAACTGGTGATATGTTCCGGGTGATTTTTGGTCGAACTAATCGACTAGTGGTGGTAATAGTGGTAGGCTTCGATGACGTCGGCGTGGATGGGGGAGGAGGGGACTTTGTAGGCGTCCTTGTCGGTGTCAGTATTTGTCTAACGGGTGGTTGTTCTTTATCATTGGATTTAGCCTGTCTTGTGGTAGACGCAAATGTATTGTCAGCATTAGTCGTGGTTGGTTTGGTTAAGCGGGCGGGCGGTTTTAGTTTTGAGGGTATGGAATGATTTTGCCTTAATGTAGGCAATTGAGAACTGTATGGTTTTCCAACTGTGGCCATTTTGGTCTTTTAATATTATGGGTTGGGTAAAAAGGTTTGTGAGCACCTGATGAACTGAAAATTGGGTTGAAACACGTTGAGGGATAGTGTGAGAAAAGAATACTTTTGCAGCGGATATCAATCTATCACATTGACCATACCTTTTTAATGATTTGGATGAGTTTACTCTTGATTCTTTGGGAATAGCTGCTGTGTGATTTTTTATGTTGTGTGCTGTTAGAATACTAGAGTTGTTTTTCTTCTATATATCATCTCTGCACCGCGTTGACTTTATTAGCATATTGGGTCATTGACCACTTCCCCGTGTTTGATTTCCTCGTAAACTCTAGTTACCTTATTGTTTTTCCTATTCAAACATAACTTTTGTATTGTTCCTTTGCGAACGAGAGTTGAAACAAGAAGAAGGGAGACGGCCGAGAAATTCTCAGAATTCTGTGTTTATGGAGTGAGACAGATGTAATTGATATTCGGATCCAGTTTCTTTATATGGGATTGTATACTTTGTGATAAAGAGTATCGAAATCATGAGAAAGTCATTGTAACTTGTAACAGATGTGTAATATGAGTATCTACAAACCACGTTAATCAATTGGTGATAATTAAGGTAAACACAAATAAAGGACTGACCAATAACAACCATTATAAAACGATCCGTATCTTAATGCTAATAAAGAATTGTAACACAAGTTTGTAACATATACTATTTAATTATTATAAAAGGTAAAACCCCCCTACATACATCCCTCAAGTGGAAACTGCTGGTATTCCCACTCCAACTTGTAATCTTTGGAATAAGGCGGGAGGGATGGAACTGGATGTGCGCCGTAATCATAATCATCGGCATGCAGGATGATAATCAATTATTATTATATAGCGATTGTCTTTGTTGTTTAATGCGCCACTTGGATTTCAGGGGGTGGTGGAGAGTAGGGGAGAGGGGAAGATTGGGAAAGAGAGAGAATGGGAAAGAGAGAGAGAAGAGAATTCAAAACTGGTAAATGCCAAAATGGTATCCCTTTTTTGCCAACATTAAAATTTAACAAACCGTAATTATTGTGCTCGCTTCTGTTAATATTATCTTTCATTACCATTGTCGCCATTATCATTGTTATCACTTATTAATGGTAATGACAATAAACAATGGTAAATAAGATTATTAATATATGATGATAATAATAATAATAATATTGTAACATTAACATGCTGCGGGGGTGAGGGTAACAAGCTCAATATCCTAATACAGTTATGTACGATTACCACTATCTGCTGACGATCGCATTGAATGGTTACCGATTTGGTAACGCAAAGATATTATACTTCAGGGGTGTATGTGAGTTGTTAGAGGTCACAGCGAGGTCGCGGTTTTCATCTTTAGTTTCGTAGGTTCTAATCGATAAACAAGCGGAGTCACGTTATCAATATGTTATGTAATAGGGTCGAGAGTTTGCATGTACTCTACAACGTGACACGTTGTATTTGGAAGCGCACGTAATAAAGTTTTTTAAATTGAGACACGACATCAAGCAAAACGTCCCTTGCTGCTAGAATTTTTTCGTTTCAAACGTTTTCTGATAAGCTCTTTATCGCAGTATTGAAAGTTATTAACTCGATAAGTCGTAATAGTAATTACGCTACAATATTTCTATTTTGAGTAAGAGTAATTCTCTTTAAGATTTGTGAATCGCTTTTTTAGCAAAAATTATTCTAATGAACTTGCATAGTTTATTTCGACTACGTCTTATTTTAAAAATTGTCTCTAGATTGTTATCCATATTTTTATCTATTTACAGTATGAATCGAATATAATATTAAATAATTTTAAATTTTTCTATGAAGAATATGCGGAAAATAGCAGCTTAAAAATTTACACGCTTGAAAGTAGAAATTTTTAAATATAATAGCCAAAATTTTAAGTCATACTATCGACTTGTAATATTAAAACTGTTGTTTGTTTGTTTTTTTTTTATAATTAATTCAAAACGTTACTGCTCTTAGATAGTTTAGTTCATGTCTCTTGCACTAACCGTAAAATAATGTGATGTTATAACAAAGGCAGATAGTATTTACAGTCGAATTTTCATACTATAAAGGAACCTCCTATTTATCATGGAACGAATCTGAGATATCAATTTAGAGATAGTTTTACCTCTGTATGTTGTGCTGCATGTTGATTGAAAGAGAAAATGAGACCCTGCTGCTTTTCATAATTACGTCAGGCAGGCTAAATTATAAAAATTCTATTTAATATCAGAACGGCTGAAAAAGGTGCTATTACTATGGTCAATGATGTCCTCGTAAAGAATTTGTAAAGATCAATAATAAAAACCAGGCAACAATACTTGATCAATATTACTAGCGTTTAATTATTGAATAATGTAGTTATATAATCTTGAGTCCAAATTGAACGCCTCTACGATAGCACATAATCTGGGTGTCTCGACTGTGATCTTTTATGGAGATTCAATTGTATTTCTTAATCCTATCGATATTATGTTCGACGGTTTCATAATAGATTGCTTGCCTATTCGAGTGTCAAATTTGATTTAGAAACATAAACTTTCTCATACTCAATTCTCTTTACTCCCGCTGAATAATTCCGGTTTATTAATTTCAAAATTACTACGCTCTGTTGGACTTTGGTCAGATGATCGTAAATGTTATGTAGATGCTGACATTGCCCATCTTACTGTGACTAATGTTATTCACCCTATAATCGGTATTTATTGAATGGGATTGATCACACGGAACACTATGGTCTGGTGACGCTGCTTCAAGTTGGACAAGATGATAAATTCTGGTTTGTTTCTTGTTTCCTTTATTAAATTTTTCGATCAGAGCTTTGTGTATCGTTAATCTATTACAACGGACGGGTTGTTCCAAAAAAATCAATCCTAGCTTTCACCAACATGTTTTCCTACAATCGGTTATTTGATCAAAAACGTATATATTACAATCATACTGTTTAGCAGTTATTGTTTGTAGGCATCGTCTCAACCAGATACTTTTATTCGTTAACTGATCAACGGCCTTTTTATACGCGTATCTGCATAGATTGCCTTACTGATGTAGTCAGGCAACTAGTTTGATTTCTGATGTTTTGATTAGCACCACAAAAACTTGTTTTTTTTTTTTGCTCAAAAGTTGACTGTTTATTGGTGTGTATAACATATTAATATCTAATTGATTTCTTTCAGATTTCTGTCAACTGACATCATGACATATACACTCGCAGAAACTATATTTTGTTCACACGATGACCGACATAATAATAATACAGCATATAACAAGTAAATTTTCTGTTCAAACATATATCGTATCACTAATAATTATACTTTAATTATTTTATTCACACGAACGTAAACAAACATACAATATTGTCATGAAATTACATAAAAAGTGCAAATCTGTCTTCATCTAACATTACTCACCCTTCCCCTTAACCACATTATATACTTAACACAAACCATAGGCGTCTCATGTTTCCACAAAATACTTTCCATAAACTCGTCAATAATATTACCGCTATAGGATCTGTCACCGGCCAATGTTTAGTATTTATTAGTCGCGCTTGTCAACGTTATTACCTTGACTTTAACGCGTTACTATATTAACTATAAATGCATGAACAAAATTGCGCAAACAAGGTGTGACTAATAAACAGCGCAAAACTTTGCAGCAATTATTCCTCTGTTAAACGCGTAAAATTAGTGCAGTCGTATTTTACCAAAGATTATTTGAGAACTCACATATTCATTTACTAATACCTCGACAAACTAGCATCGATATTAAGAAATGAAATGAGTTCTGTGACAGTAATCAAACCGCGATTATCCTTCACTTCTTTGTTTATACACGCTAATAACGCTCGCCTCAATTTTGGCAGGACATTGTAAACGCCGAATACGTTGAGTAGAGTTGATCATTTTGTTTAGCACGAGTGCCTTTATCGTGCAAACTTGCCAGCTGTGGGTGAAATTGCTTTCACCGTTACATATTGCAATAATATTCGAAGCCATGTGTTCTACTGTTACAGTCTCGTGCATATAGTGTTGTAATACCGTACATGATCAATTCTTATTCTTTTCTCCTTAACAAGCCACCAAGTTTGTTACGTTATGACTAATCCAAACGTAATTCGTGAATATAGAAAGAGTAGCATGAACTCATTACCAATTCCATAAACTTTAGATAGTTGGTTCTCAATATTCACTCTATAATAAATGATGTACTATTACTATATATTCTGGTGATCTAGCTGCCAACCGGTTAAATGTGCAATATTATTTCAAACCTTATTAACTCAACTCACATTAATATTAACATGCATGGAAACTACCATGTTTAATTGAAGAGGGGTAAAGCATTGAAGAAAACTCATATCAACTGTAATAAACTGTGAATCACAGGTTTATTCAAAACTTTGAGTTACTAAATTATAAAACGATGGACAATGTTAATATTGTAATTCTTGGTATGGGCAAATCTCCAATAGGTATGAGTTTACTAGAGTATTTACTCTCCTTTTCAAGATGTGATAAGGGTTTTACATTATTGTAATGTATTTCCATGTGTTGCACTCTCTTGTTATCCTATCAACTGCATTGTCTCGATATTTTATAGTGTCTTTATTTGCTCAATGCACTGTTACTGGAGAAGTGAGGATGACTTCTCGATATCGAGGTGGGAGAGACGTATCGTTTGAGTTGCCATCAAGAGTAGAGTCGATTTTGCTCATTTCGTCGTTGTCGGATTGAAGTTTGCGGTTTTTCCGTCTATGATAATAATAATAGGCAATGAAAAATACAATTGCTATAAATACAAAACCAATAAATCCGCTAACTGCAGCTGTGATTATTTTTGATGCCGAGGGATGTGATGACGCCTCCGAGGGTGACGCCCCCGGATTTGGTATCGAGGTTGACACCGACGTGTTTGGCGCCGAGGTTTGCGTCTCCATGGGTGACGACGAGACGAAATTCCATGTCCATGTAATGGTGTCTAGCATGTATACTGTCGTATCACCAACTACTGGGCTTCCTATTCCTCCAAACACAATCATTAGACTTTCCGAAAGAACTGCCGAGTGTCCCAAGCGAGCACCTGGACTCATTCCATTTGTTGCCGGTTGCGACCAAGTAAAGCTAGTTGCTGATGTTGCTGTCAGTAACCATAATGAATCATCTGATAGTATAGTACCATTCGACGATATAATTCCACCACCTAGTGAGCAAAATTATTGGATTGTTATCGAATATTTGATTTCATTAGTGTATGTAAAGTAGGGACGGACATTGACATTTACTTATACTTTGAAACATTACCAAATATAATCATTTGATCTGCTTTGCACACTGCTGTATGTCCTAATCGAGCACTAAAACGAAAGAATAGGAAAAGTAAGATTGAGTACTAGGTGTGAGAAAACACGTTCTGTTACGGCTATCATGTGGATAATAGTTGAATAAGAACATAAATCTACGTTCATTCTTACATTCACTCTCCTTACTGACATTCTCTCCTACTCACAAATCTTACCTACCTTGGTTTATTTGACACTGGCTGAACAATTTGATTCCATACTCCTTGTGAGACAGAGTAGGTAATGAGTACATCTTGTGCTTGGAAATCGGTGCTTTGGCCACCAAAGACGGCAATTACGTCGAATTTTGATAAATAGCAAGCTGTGTGATATGCTAACGGTGGCCCATTAGCACGAGGTGTCCAGAGGAGAGTTTTTGAGTTCTGTTGTTGGTAGAATGATATGAGGTTATGATTGTTAGCTTGAAGTAATAAAACAAGGTTGATATCCATGAATGTTGGCATAGCTCCTACTCTCATATTAAGAAATCCTTTCCAATATTTAGTTTCTTAACCTATCACGGGAAATTACTTCACGCAGCCATTATTGACGCATCAACCCTTCCCTGGAATTATTCATTGTCATTAAACTCACCAAAGAATACAGCAAGTTATCAATGGCCTGTGCTTGATTTCCTTGTGAATCAACAGCTCGTCCAGCGTATCGATATAGGACGTCATTTACAGCTGTGAGTGTGACACCTATGCGGAAGTCTGGTGGCGGGGATACTAGTAAAAAATTACAAAGAACAATGACAGGTTATTATAGATGAACTATGATACATTCATGTATGCATACAGAGAGTTTTTGCCTTGTCTCTTTTCCTACGCAGCCATTACAAAATCCAAAAATCAAGTTTCCCTCTTTATTGTCACAGACCAAACCCATCAGTATCAATATAATATTTAGTAGTGTAAATAGATTTGAGAGTGGAGCTAAACATGAGCAATTATGCATCAACGCAAATAAACTTGCGTGCGCACGATCAAGTCACACCCGCAATCAAAACATACACACAGTGAAGGCGAGGGTGAGAGTTCGAAGAAAAACTGAATTTCACATTTGAATCCATCACTATCAACTGATTTTCATCGTTTCTCATGGCATGTAAGACCGAACTCAACTGACCAACTACTGGTTTTGGTTGATTTTTTTTTCTTTGGTCATCATTGTTGTTCTCATCCCTAATCCCAACAAAACTTACAAGTAGTAATCTCTTGCCAATTCCCCTGTATTAAATCCAAAACTGCGATATTCTTTGCTACATTTGCCTGGTCTGTCGTATTAGCCATTAGGACGAACATTTTTCCAGCTGTATTTGGGAATCCGACGCAGGGCACGAATTTTTGTGGTAGAGGTATTGTGCTTCCGGCAGCGGCGGTTATGCTAGGCCTATACCATTGTTTGCTTGCTAGATCCCAAACTTCAACGTCGTTAGTTGCGGCGGAATTCGTAAAGATATCAATGGATGACACCCCGCCAAAGATGACCATCTGAGTAGATATCATACAGGCGGAATGGCCAGTACGCCAGAAAATGTTAGTGGGTGGGCCATGATGGGGTTTTTGCGCGTATGTGAAAGAAAGAAAAACGAATAGGAAGAAGAAAAGGGATTGATGAAGGAATAAAGCAGAAATTAAATTGGGATGAATCAAGAAGGTCGAAGGGAATTTTGACGCCTTTGTGTGCTTGATCATTAATGTTTGTTTTTTTGTTTGAAATGTACAGAGAAAAGGAGTCCGACGTCTGAAGTAGAATTTCCTGTTAGTCTTGCTTTTCGAGTTCTTCGATATAGTCAATATACAAAGCGTAGTCGGATTCCTTTGTAATTGCTAATTGATTGTTCGCTATCGTCTCGCTATCAATTGTAGTCACTCTGTACATATTCTTTCCGTAGCCAAAGTCGGGACGGAGAAAATAGTGGTAGTAATTGATAACATAAGAAGCATTTTATTATTACTATCTTTACTTTTGTTGATATGAGCGCTATGACTATGAGATGACTATAAAAAATTGCCTCGCATGTCCGTGTAACGAGTAAATTTCTCAAAATACTGTACAGATCTTCAATATTAATATTGACACTTTAGAATAATATTCGCACAACGCATGGAATACTAATACCATCTATCGCAGTAATGTAATAATGCCGCTATCACGTCTCGGGAAGGAGAGTAAATATTCTAATAAGCTCTTACAGGAGATTTATCTAAACCGAGATTTGGATTCAGCTGCAGGTACCGTATACTACCGTGAATAAGCACCCATCGTGAATAAGTAAAATTTTCGATCGTGAATAAGAGTTGACGATCCTATCGTGAATAAGCACCCCTCACTATGATAAGGGTGGGTGCTTATTCACAGTAGTATACGGTATCCATTTTTTATAATTTAGAAACTTTACAAACTTGTAATTCACGGATTATTTACAGTTAGATACGATATGCTTCCGTGTTCAAGCTAAATGATGGTGGGAACCATTCAAAATACATTTTACGAAGGAAAAAAAAATTGAATGCAGGGAAAATAATGTACTAACGGTTAACCACGTTTATATGACCATGATAAAAAAATTTGATTGTGGGTATGAATATTTAATAGACCAAAGAAAAAATAAATGAATGTGCTTTGTCAAGATTGTCGCATATTTTTCGACGTTATCAGATAAATCAATTAGTGCAAGACTGTGACAATCCCGAAACAGGTCAAATCCTAGAATGGGGACAACAATATAATAATAAGACAATTTCCGTCGTTGTGTAAGTGTGTGATGTAACATAATAAATGCTGAAAATGTATATGTCGTTACTTCCAGGCGTTAATTATAATCCAGCCAGCACTTGACAACTTGATTCAATCCTCAGAAAACGCTTATAAACTTAAATGTATTCCTCCCTCAGAAATCACTGACATAAGTCAAATTGATGCTGTTCATTACGCTACTTACACGCAAACATCGGACGATAGTGAATTCAAGGAAACGATGATAATGCTGGTACTCCTTGGAAACAGCGAAGAATATACACCAAAATTTGTGAGCGAGTTTGCTAGAATATACTCACTTCCAACACACAAGTACAATAATGACGTTAATCGGTTCATAAGATATTCCAAATGGCTTAATTATCGCAATAGCTTCATGATATATGGATTTACCAAGTATGACGGTAACTATTACATGGTTGCTAACAGACAGTTTCACCGTTGTTATTCTCGATATGGATTCTGCTCCGCATGTGGAATGCTTAGATGTAGTCCTGTGTGGTGCATTTGCGGCCATAAACAATTATCTAGTGGATGGACTAGCAACAACATGAAACTCGACGAGTTTATTAAGAAATCACAGATACAAACAAATTCAGCAAACGATGCCTATTTGGAATGGATTCCTTTGATTGTATTGATGATTGGGGATATGGCGTGCACTTATGTGATCTACCTACTTACTACTATTACTATGCAGCCGTTAAATTGATTCCACTTGAAATAACGGTTGAGACGTCTGATTTATATTATGACAGGTAAGCCATTCAATTTTGCATCACATCTGTTGACTTATTATTATTTGGATAATGATTGACTTAATGTACCATATCATTTCCACTAGTTATGTGATGAGCATCCAGATATTCTTGCCACAGATGTTTGGATTACTATTGGATTTACACATGATGCAAGTGAACAGAAGTATTATTTAATAAAAGACTGTGATGAGAGTCAATTATGTCTGGCATGTATACATAGATTGGCACATAGTATAAATACCTTCTGTTATTGGTGTAAAGCACCAAGACCTCTTGATTGGACAACTGGCAACAAGTCTTTGGATTCATTCATTATGGAATCATGGAATAATACAACCTATGAATATGATGCTTATATACAATGGGTAGAGTATTCCCTATTGACAAATCTACAAGAGATGACACTATTACACCATGGATGCACACATATAGCAGATTGGTTAGACTTGATAACAAATAAATGGGTAAAAGTAGTACTCAAACAGATAGCTAATGTTCAGTCATTTGATTTTCATCAGGTAATTTATTCATGTGTAAACAATGCAAGCAGTATTATTAAATTTGCTAATTGTTTCCTTAAATAGCTAACTAAGGAATACCCAGAGATATTAACAGGAGACAATATTTGGATAATTGGAATCACTCAATATCAAAAGCCATCTACTCAAGCATATTATTTAGTTTTCTACCATGAAATACATGCAATATTGGACAAATTTATACAAATTCATGAAAGTGTACAATATATGCAGTATAGCAACTTTGGTGAAATTAAACAGATTGGAGTTGGTGGTTATGGAACAGTTTATACTGCCAAATATAAAACTTGTTCAGAAAAGGATATTAATATACCAGAAACTGTTGTGCTTAAAAGATTTAAGGATTTTGATCAAGTGCCAGAATTATTTATTTCTGAGGTAAGTATTCTTTGATATTTTAACCAAAGTATTATTTAATTTATTATTCATCAGACTTTGGATTTATTTTATTAATAGCTCAGAAATCATGCCAAGTGCTCATGCAGAAATTATCCATTCCTTGAAATTTATGGAATCACACAAGACCCAGAAACAAAAGAGTACATGATTGTTATGCAATATGCTAACAATGGTAGTCTTTTGTCTTATTTG